GAGTGGTTGAGTGATACACCTGGGGTCACACAGCCATAGTGGGGGTAGAGACGAGAGGAGGCAGGTGCTGAGATGTGGCAGCAAAGGTAGTGAAGGTGCAACCGCGTCCTTGTCAGCGAGGAAGGGGTGTCGTCTTGCTCCTGCGGCAACGGGGAAGACTTCACAAAGTTTGGGGCCAGAGTGGGTAGGATCAGATTTGTGTCTTGAAAAGTCCATCTGGCGGCCAGGCGCGGTGGCTCACACCTGTAATCCTAGCACTTTGGGAGGCCGAGGCGGGCAGATCACCTGAGGTCGGGAGTACGCAACCAGCCCAACCAACATGGTAACACCCTGTCTCTACTAAAAATACAAAATTATCTGGGTGTGGTGGCGCATGGCTGTCATCCCAGCTACTCGGGAGGCTAAGGCAGGAGAATCGCTTGAACCCGGGAGGTGGAGGTTGCGGTGAGCCAAGATCACACCACTGCACTCCAGCCTGGGCAACAAAAGCGAGACTCTGTCTCAAAAAAAGAAAAGAAAAGCCCGTCTGGCTGGAGCACTGGCAAAGGAGTGCGGGGAGGGAATATATTATCCTGCATGAATTTGGGGAGCGCAGTGGAGAAGGCCGTGGCAGGCTCCAAGTGAGAGATGGAAAGAGACAGAGGCTTGCTGCAGGGGGTTGCAGTGTGGACGGGATGAAGAGAAATGGGCAGATTGGAGAGGTTCCACAGGGTGAAGTCCACAGGACTTGCCAATGAGCCCAGTACTGGGGGCGGCCAAGGGAGAGGGGGTGTCCAGGTGCCATACTGGATGGTGGAGGCACAGCTCCCGGAGGTGGGAGACCAGACATCATGGCCACCGCGCATGGTCGTGGGGACTGTCCCTGAAAACACGTCTTTGCAATCGTTCCTCGGGGGGCGCTCCTTCTGTAATTCGTCCTCCACTCTCCCCGTCCCCCCACCCCACTTTGCCACTTCATGCAGGGGCACTGTAAGGGTTTGAAGGTCTCACTGGAAGAGGTCAGCTTTGGGGTGAACTAGAGCCCTGAAAGGAGACCCCATTGGGAAACATGATGATCCAGGGGTGACAGGAGGGGGTGGCCATCAGCACCACTCAGCCCCACCTGGCATAGATCCCACCTGCTCCAGAGACAGGCCACACACTCTGGGCTGTCGAGAGAGACCAGGACCCTACCCAGTCACTGCTGTGTGGATACGGTGCCCTCTGAAACTGGGGAAATAACCTAAGCTTCCTATACCTTCCTCCCTTGTAAAGTGGGTCAGCAAGGCTCAAATATGGGGGCCACTTACATGTGTGTGCACTAGGCCACTTGTAAAGGTCACAGAGGCCCTTACTGTCTGCGTAGTAACATGCATTTGAGAGAGAGAGAGAGAGAGACTGGCCTTTCCTCGGCCTAGCACTTTGACTGATTTGTTTTGTCCAGACAAACATACGGCCAAGCAGTCTTCATGGTGGGTTCTCAATCTGGGCTGATATGAGACCCTCTGAAAACACCCAAGCCTGCCCCTCCAGGGCTGGGGCCAGGTTCACCGGCTCCAGAAACCCCCGGGAGTCCACCGCACAGACGCCCTCATCTCTGTCTCTGACTCTCTCTCTCTGATTCTCTCTCCACCCCACCCTTCCCATCTCTGGGCTTGGTTTTTCCCCATTTTTTTTTTTAGGCGGAGTCTCGCTGTGTCACCCACGCTGGACTGCAATGGCGTGATCTGGGCTCACTGCCACCTCCGCCTCCCGGGTTCAAGCGATTCTCCTTCCTCAGCCTCCTGAGTTGCTGGGATTACAGGCGCCTGCCGCCAAGCCTGGCTATCATTTTTGTATTTTTTTAGTAGAGACGGGGTTTCACCACATTGGCCAGGCTGGTCTCAAACTCCTGGGCTCAAGTGATTCTCCCACCTCGGCATCCCAAAGTGCCGGGATAATAGGCGTGAACCACCTCGCCTGGCTGGTTTTTCTCCATTCTTGAGCAGGATCTCGAGAAGGGGTCCCAGCAACTACCAACAGGTTTTTCCAGTTCAGCCATCCCCTGGGAGAGGGAGGACCTCTTTCCTCAATCATTCCAGCAAGACTCCCGGGGCGACGCTTACTGGCCAGCCTGTGTACCTGGCAATGACCGTTACTCCGAGTGGCCAGTCCTGAGACACGTCCGGGGGAAGGGTCAGCCTGGTCCAGCCTCGTGGAGGGCAGGTGGGGAGGGCTGGTCTCCCAGAGCAAACCCAGCAGCTGCCAGGGAGAAGAGCAGGGTGCGTGCAAGCAGAAACAGCACCGGTCGCCAGCGGGGTCCCCCAGGGCTCTCCTCCTGCCCGCGTGAATGCTGACGTCAGCACCGACGTTCTGTCGGGCGGCAGCTCTGTCCTCCTCTCTGAGAATGGGAGCAGCCGTTGATGCGAACTCCGCAGGAGAGGCTGCGTATGGTGCAATTAATCCAGGTCGCCCAAGCCAGACAGCTGATTAGGATCTCAACAGGGGCTGCTGGGCGTTCGAGTCCTTATTAATGAGAAGTTGCTGCTATGAAGCAGGTGGGGGAAACAGGTGTACAAATCCATGCAATCAGTAAAAACCCATAAAAAATCCAGTGGCAGTGACAGTAGCCCAGAGTGCCAGGGAGCCCTTGCTTTTCCAGCTCGCTATCTTCCAGGCTCTGTTGGTGGTCGGCATGGCCCGTGGAAATCAACGAGAATGTGCCCGCCAGAAAACACGAAGAAAACCCAGGAAATTAGCAAGGGAAGAAGAAAAGAAGATAGCTTGACCACCTCTCAGAGAAAGCAGGGGGACTCTGAGATCATGCAACAAAACAGAAGACAGCTAATGAGAAATCTATGCAGACAAGAGAAAAGTGATAACTGGCTATTTGGAAAACCCGGGCGCTCCTGCCGGCTGGGTGTATCATAAGCCCTAAGAGGAAGATTTTGTAGAGAGAACAGTCATTACACATAACTTATCCTTTAAAAAGATTTTAAACTTTACCTTTCAGATTGACTTAGTGTGATGTTTTAGAAGCATTCGTCAAAGAATAAAACACAAACCATGAAGAAAAAAAACAAAAGCCCAGTGGCTCAGCGAAAGAAATTACTGTGAACAAAACTTGTGCAGAAACTTTTGTGTGTTTTCAAGGATTTTGTCCAATACAAGCTTTTCCTATTTGATTTTTTCACCTAAAATAGCATTTCTTCATGGACAGTGTATCATTTTCAGATCATGCAGTACGGTGGAGAGCAGTCAGTGCATTTATAAATGACTTTCAATTTCTGACTGGGCGCCGCAGTGGCTCACGCCCTGTAACTCCAGCCACTTTGGGAGGCCGACGCGCGGGCCAGTCAC